GTGGGGGTGGAAGCATAGTGGTAAATTATCTAGCACATTGTATATGTTGTGTAACTGAACATGTTTTATAGAAACCTGCTCCACCAAAACCTGAACCCAAACCAAGGAAAACCACTAAGGTAAAATTCCTCTAACTTAAATTGCTATAACTAAGTAACCATGCACTTTTTCTCTTTTGCATTGTAAGATTCATTTTACCATTTTTAAGTATTCATGGTTTATTTCTGAATCAACCACAATGTCTTTTCAAAAAAAAAAAAGAAAGACCTCCTCATCCCATGACATCTGTTCTAGCTAAAATAGAGAGATGTCCCCTTACATGCACACAAAAAGGGCTTTTGCTCTTTAAAGATGGAGCTCGCTTGTCTTGGAGGTGGCAGAGTTGATCAGGATAGATTCACTTTCAAACTAGGGCCTGAAAAGTCCCACAGTAACATGTCACTTTGCTTTGTGCTAATCTCTTTGCTTGACTAAATGAAGAGGACTCCATGCAGTAATGAGAAGCTCTTATCCGTGATTTCTTATGTAAATGAAGCCATCACTGAGATTGTAAGATTTTAAATAAAGGTGAAATTAAAGATGTATTTAAATTGGGTGGTTTTGTTTTTCTATGCCAAACTAGAATTGAAATGAAAATCCTTCCCCAGTAAGTCACTTATTTTAGATACTACTTAGAGATATCCTAGAAAGGTATTTTAAAAAAATCATAGATTAATGTTGGGCCAGGGAGAATGCAAAAAAATCACAACTGTTATACCAGAGAGAACAAAACTTGCTTTAGCATTCCTCACTGTGCCCCTTTGATTCTTAAAGGGGTCTCTTTACTTGAACTGAATATTGTAATATTTTTTCAAGTGTGGGTTTGTAATTCTGTGATATGGAACATTTTTGGGTCTGCACTATCAACTGAAATTGCTGACAGAGTACCATTCATTTTATCCTGTCTTTTCCACATGTGTTTGTTATAGAATGTGGAAAAGGGAGTAATTTATAGTGAGGAGGGGAGAGGTTTATTTAAAAAGAATGGGGTAGGTTTTTATAATGTTCATTACATGTAGTGGCAATGGGTTTGACATCATGGCTTCAGTATGCGTCAGTCACAAGACAGGCATATATTTGAGGCCTATATCAGGAATTTGGGGTTAATAAAAATTAATAAGCTCCTTTATAACCAAACTATAAAATTAGGAGCTGGTTTAGCATATGCCTGTATAGATTTGTGAAACTTTTAAAGGAAAAACAATTAAGTTTATATTTTGGATGAACTAAGAAAGAATCGTATGTAATGTTATATTGTAAGTAACTTCATATATTTCTAGTGTTCAAAGATAGCAAATGTGCAGAGCTGCAAACTTAAATTCTTTGATTGGTTTTTATTTGAAAATTATTTTACGTGGAATATTTGCACTCCAAGTAAAAGATTAAAAATAGAATGTAGTACTTTTCTTGATAAAAGGAAGCTTGACCCTAATATCCCAGTTGAAGTTGACAGCAGTAGTTATCAGTTTGGGTCAAGGAGGTTGGAGCAAAGGGAAGGATGGAAAAATCTTAAAATGTTAACGCAGGACTAATTTAAATATCCAATGACAAATCCTAAAAATACTTATGCAAACCCATGGATGGTGCATGTCCTTGTTCATTCCTGTTTCCTTTATGGGCAATATATTGTTTTGGTTTTTTTTCAAATCAATTCTACCAAAGTAAAATATGTTAATGTCTGTAAATTGAGAGCAAATTAGAGAACACTACTCAGTTAAATTTGTTTGTGCTGTCAGCAATTGCAGTTACAGTTAAAAGTGCTCTGGGCTGCTTTTAGAGAGGTGGCTGGAATTCTGTTTAGCTCATCAGATATGCTTTGGTGCTATTTTAATATTTAGTTTATAGGGACATTCACAGAAAATGTAGGATTCTTGCGACTGATGCACACTATCTCCATGTTTTTGATCCTTTGTCAGAAGGAACCCGGGACAAAGGCTAACAAAGGTGCTAAAGGGAAGAAGGATGAAAAGCAAGAAGCTGCAAAGGAAGGTACTACACCATCTGAAAATGGTGAAAATAAAGCTGAAGAGGTACTTTCCACACACACCTTCCACTGATTGAATCAGTGTTTTTTAATTATTCAATCTTTCAGCCATTGATAGCATGTTCATAATGTTTCTTTTTATTGCCCATAATGTTATTACAGATTCGCATCTCTCGCTCAACTGTTAGTGTTTCAACATCCAGAGGTGCCCCACCCAGCACACTGTCAGTAAAAGGGCAGATTGAAACAGTGAAAGTTAAGGGTACGGTAGAGCTTTCTGCATGTGTGCAGTGAATAGAAACAGATAGTTGTGTGGTGCTTTTCATTATGAACAATGGAAGCTGACAGGTAAGGCTTCTATGGCTTTTGAAAAGCTGGGACCAATAACTGAAGAAAAGTGTGTGTATGTACCTGTTTTGTATGTGTGAACGTAACACTGAAATAGATTTGACATTGAGCTGTTGAAATTAATGCATCAAAGGAGAAAGTGCTAGTGTGGGTTTTTTATATGCATAATGATAATTGAATATAGTAATTATGTTTTGTTTTTTTTCCTTTCACAGGCACAGAAAACTGAAACTCTAGGTGACAAGAGCGAATGAATTATCATGAAAATTTTGGGTTGATTTTATGTACCTCTTGGACAACTTTTAAAAGATATTTTTATCAAGTATTTTGTAAATGCTAATTTTTTTAGGACTATGATAGTTGACATATTAAACTATATATGAACATTTCCCTTCTCATAACCATGCTTTTAGAAATTTCCATTGTTCGCAAGTAATATAAATATCAATTTAGCATTGGAAGGTGTGTGTAAAATTGGATCAGCATTCCATACACTTGCTTTGAGAAATTAAGTCTTGTGCATATGGTGGTGTTTTTACTGTGTGTATTTGAATTTTTCATGCTGTTTTTCTAGAGCAATAATCAGTGGTGCTTTTGTACTTAGGGTTTATGTGATTTTAATGAAACATGGATAGATGTGGCCACCTGCTGACTATTTTGGGTTATTTTAATGGATTAAAATAAAAGGTCTCCTTGCCTGCAAAACTATGGCCTCCTAATGTTTTCTCTAAATCTAGAATGCCTTACTCATATTTTAACTGTTGTGAGGAAGACTGAGTGGTTTAGCAGCTATTGTGATCTGCATGCATTATATTTGTTTTTTTGCTGGCCTTTGATGAACAGTGTATTTAAATGTCCACATATGAGCAGGAGGTCAAGGTTTTTTGTGGTCCATTTATTAATGGGCTTATGAATACACCGTTTCATGTTCAGATTTATTACCATGAGCAAATAGATTTTGTGTTACTGTACCAGTCTGATGCAGAGATACCAAAACAGAATGAATTGCTTGATTGCTACAGAAGTACAGTAACTGTAAGGCATTCTGGAGTATTTTGGCTTCTCCCCTGCCTGCCCCTTTCATCTAATAGAGCAGATTTAATGTTAACATCTTATTACATGTGACCCTTGTTTCTATCTGCAGTCTCAAATTTAATATACTATAAAAATTGCTGTTCTGCCTCAGCAGAGGACAGTTGTTAATATATTGAAATTGCTGTTAAACAGCACTATATTTGGTACCTGTTAGAGATGGAACAATGAAAGTATTTTTGAAGTGATTGTGATGCTGGTAAATTAGCTAATGATTTTTAGTACTATACATTACACCTTTTCAGCTCATTATAAACACCTTGGATAATTTTCTCCTTCAAACCCTCTTCTCCTGGGACTCTGGTATTTCTATTGTTGTTTGTGGAGGTGGGGTGGGGGGTGAGAAAGAAATGTTCCCTGTTCTTCAGTACAATTGATTTGTATTGCTCAAGTGGTGGCCGTTATGTCTGGGGTTACTTTTGCTTGTTTCAGTCAATAAATAAATGACTGCATTGCCTGACCCTAGTGTTTTATTTATTATTTGGAGATATCTAGTAGCCTGCTCTTAATGAAAAAACAAAAACCTCTCTCTTTCCCCATTTCAACGTACTTTTTGTTCAGTTGCTTTCTTGCATGAGCATGGTAGTAACATAGAAGGCCCTCGTCAGAAACAGGGTTTTTATTGTGATAGCCACTGTAGAGTAACATAGAAGGATGCTGTCTTTGCATCTGAAAGCTGCAGTTGGGAACCTGATTGGGAATAAGAGTGAATGTACATGTATGTGTTGTTGATGGTGGTACAGGATAGTGGGGACAAAATGTATGTTTTTCTCTGTCCCCCTTCCCCCCAGTCTCAAATGGTATCTCTCAAGCAACAGGCTACTTAGCCCCATTTTTGCCAAAGCATGTGGCCTTTAACACCCAGATGCAAGCTGTGCCTCATCAATACAGATCATATCATCACTGGACCAAATAACATGGATTGTAACAGCCAAGTTTTATTCACCTGCACTTCTACCAGTGTCATATATTCAATCTCCTGTTTACAGTGACTTTCTGCTGTCTACATTGGACAAATGGAGTGATCCCTACATGCAAGAATGAATGAACACCAGTCTAGCATCCATTCTAGAAAGACACATGCCTGTGGCAGAACATGTTACCTCCCTGAACTGCATAGGCTGTGTCCAGATGAGCATGGATGTTTATTTCCCTGGGGACAAGTAGCAGCAGCACACCTTGTGCAGCTGCTACTTGTCCCTGGGAATGCCCGTGCCATGCATGCCCTGGTGCATGACAGGTTACCCTGGGTGGGATGGCTGGGGCCAGCAACTGTGCTGGCCCCAGCAGCCTTACCTTGGGGTTCTGGGGGCCTTGGGGAGCTGCAGCGCTTCTGCAGCTGGGAGCCTGCTAGCAGTCGGGAGTGTGACTTTGGCCAGCTAGGCTCTGGTTTTGGGCAGCACCTGCTGCTGCTATATGCACCATCCTGCTTTTTTTTGGTGTGGGTTTTTTTTAACCCCAGAATCTCCCAGGATCAAACCCCCTGTGCTGCAAGGTAGCAGTACAGGGAATGCCTGCACGTGGGGTGTTTAGTGCCGCAGGTGGGTCTATGGTGCTATATACCATATGTCCACGCTTGTCTAGACATGGCCACAATGGTTGTTCCTTTGGTGAAACTTTAGAAGAACTTCTAAACACAAAATTGCAGCATAAGAAATTATCCATAGACTGGATTGTGTTACACATGGTCTAAACAGGGACTAGATTCTTATCCCATTACCTGGATTAGCTTTTGTGTGACTCCTTTGTCCCTACGGACTTATTACTCGTTTGCCTCTCCACATTGTGTCCCTTCCCTCCCTCCCTTCCCTGTCTTTTGCATTGAAATCACTCTGTTTGATAGCCTGCTTTTTTGAATGACCTTTCATAACATCTGACAAAATGAGCTCTGTCTCACAAAAGCTTATGCATCTCTCATTTAGTCTTATATGATGCCTCTCTAGCCTACCTTCTGCTTGACTTCAGAATAACAGGGCTAACTACTTCTCTTATCTAAAGGAAATAATTAACTCATTTCCCAGTTTGGTCTTTCTATCTCTTTTTTTGACCCTGAATATCAATTCTCCAGCTCTAACTAATGTACATGCATATAAACGTATGGCTCTTTTTTCTTAAACTTTTCTACTGCATGGGGAAAGCAGCAAAACAAAATACTAGCTTGACACATCACTTAAACCCCATGTGACAAGCCACTTTGCCCAGTTATCAGCTGCCATCCTTATTATAGAGCTGGTATTTATTATGGATATGTGCACTGTTGCCTTAAACAGCTTACTGGGCAGAAACAACAAAGTTTTCCATCCTAGGAAGCACAGGGGACCTGAACTGTGAGTGCTGTATTGGCAGGAGAGTAGTGAGGAGGAGCTGGGAGGTAGTTTTTACTTCTGTGTATGGTATTAGTGAAATGAATCTTGCTGACAGTTTTGGTACCTACGTTCTTAAAAAGGATGATCAAAACCTGGAGATGGTATTGAAAAGAGCCACGAAACAGGTTTTTATTTTGGACAGCTTGAAAAAGAGACCGTCTTTTCCATAGGGCCAAGTACAAGGTACTAATGGGCTCTTAAGTCTTTCAAAGAGAAGCATAGCAGGAACCAATAGTTGGAAGTTTAAAGTTAGACCAATTCAAATATAAACATCAGTTACATGATTTTTAGCAGCAAAAGTGACTAACCATTAGAATGAACTGCTAAGGGAGAACTCACCATTATTATCTCTTGGTGTCTTCAAATCAGGGCTGAATATCCTGGAGAATTTGCTTTAGTCAAGTGAATTATTGGGCTCAGTGTGAGAGTTAAGTGATGAAATCTGTTTCCAGGGTATATAGGAAATTGGTTTAGATGATCTAATGGCTCTTCTGGCTTCAAAAATGTATTGTATTATGCTATTTTTAAGTATACTATATTTGGGGGGTTTTTTCCAAGTTTTAAAAGTTGACAGATTCTTGTCACAATTGAAGTAGATGTAGGATTTCAGTAATGAGAAGAGGGAAATGGTTCTAACAATTGTATCTAGGATACCAGAATAATATACAATGTTAAAGAAGAAATAAGCAAAAGAATACAATGTTAAAGAATAATAACCAAAATAGAAGGTATGGCATGGGAGAAGGGATTTCAGAAAACAGTATATACATTATATTGTGAGTTATAAAGTTCATAGTATATGTAGCAGAACTTGAAATGTATCCATTGAATTGATTTAAAGAAACAAGAACATGAAGTTCTTTGTAGTAAGAAAAATTCTTATATTATAAAAGCCTACGTCTGTCTGTCACGCTTTATTTGCGCTCTGATTGGCAGACAGAAACAGGCAATCAGTGCTTCAAGTATGGGGGAGTGCCGCCATGATTCTGAAGCCATGCGGGGGACGGGACGGGGATGGGGGAGCTGAGGTCAGCAGCGCTGCAAGAGGCAGAACAGTGGCACTCCCTCCCTGCCCCCCCCCCCCGTCATTCTTTATGGACAGTTAGCTAGTTCTAATATTATAAAAACCTAAGTCTGTCTGTCTAACGTTTAATTTGCACTCTGATTGGCTGACAAACAGCCAATCAGAGTGCAAAGAAGCATTCTGATGGAAGGCAGCCCATTGCCATGATGGTGGGGACATATGGATGGAGTGGGGGGGGGTGAGGCCAGTGCAGTTGGCCTCCTCCCCCCCCGCTTCCTGGAGGTGGCAGCTGGCCTCGCCCCCCCCGCCCCCCCGTTCCTTGCAGATAACTTTGGGGGGGAGGGGAGTGGGCCCGGACAGGGGTTGGGGCCGGGGCTCCGTTTCCTCTTGCACCGCCCTCCCTGCCCCTGCGTCATTGTTGACAGGCAGTTGGCTAGTCTTACAATAAGGAGCTAGCAATGTTAGCGAGGGATGAATAGGTGATCGTGTTAGTGGACTTAAATACTTCCATTGAAGAAATGAAAGTATGCTATTACAGCACAGTGACAAATGACATATACTTGGAGGGAAAGTTAAGTGAGTACTTCAGACTTTAGCTGTGAACCAGACCACATTTTATTTGTAAGGAAGGGGGTGATTCACAAAGAACTTAATACCTAAAAAATCCTAGGCAATTCACAAAACCCCATGTAATCCAATTGGGTACTCAGGGCCCAACCCTTTCCTCCCCCCTGCCTCCCCCCCACCTCATCTACACTATCAAGTTTTGTTTCTACCAGCAATTAAACAACTTGTGCCAAGTGCCACTCTAGCAACTAGCAAAAGACACAAATAGACACTCCCATGCCTCCTGCCAGCTGTAGTGGTCCCTTTGGCTATTAGTGCCTTTTTCCTGGAGTTAGACCACATCAGTAATTCAGCTAAAATTCATTTAACAAATCCAGAGAGGTGGTTAGGCAGAAGATAGGGAAGGGTGCTACCTTAGAGACTAGCTGATTCAGAGAGGCTTGAGCTTTCTAAGATAACAACCTACTTTGTCAGATGCTTAGCAGGTTGTTGCCTATGAAAGTTTGTCTCTGAACCAGTTATTCCCTAAGGTGCCATCCCACCCTACCTTGTGCTATAATAAATCCAAAAGCCAACAGTTATACTTTAAAATTTTAAGCAACTGGGGTTTTTTTTAATCTGTAATGAAGGCTAGCTATAGATTTAGCAATATTACAGCACTTCTTGACTGAACCCATACAGCTGTCACAGTTACAAGTATTTGAGAGTGTTTGAAACGGGAAGAGAGAGGCATAAATTCTAGTTGTTCCAGCTACAAAGAACCTTTCCTTTAATTATTTTTTTGTTTAAATCCCCCTAGATGTCTCATCATATCTTATAGTGTCTGCAGAAATTTCTAGAAACTAATTTGATTTATCCAGTAGTATACCTACATGCTTTTTCCAAAGCAGGAAGCTTTCTTCTACTGGTTTTCTAGTGGTTGGCATTCCAACATTTCTACCTACGGTAACATTTATAATAGCTTTTTTTTCTTTGTCTGATTCTTAAAACATTGCATTCTAAATTGAGAATTGATCTCCTCCCCAACCCCGGATTCCTACAAGTTTGTCCATATTTATATAAGAATACGTAATTAAACATACCATTACCTATTATATAATTATTAAATTGCCCTAATGTAATCTGTACACTTCCCAGCATATATGCTGTGTGCTCCAGTAGTTGTGCTGCTCCACTGGAGCATCCTGGAGTCACCAGAAGTTGTGTACATTTTCTTGTGGTTGGGTGCTGACAACTGACTCTTGTCTGCTACTAGAACTTTGCTGGCAGAAATAGGCAAAACCTTGGGTGCTGATATCTGGAAAAGAAAAGGGATTTCAGATGAACTCCACCCTCCTTTCTTCCCATGCTCACCCTGGTTCTTCAGTTCCTGTTGGCTCCACATACTAACTGTTGTGAATCCTAAGCCTAGGCCTTAACTTTTCGTCTAAACTGATTGCAGCCATGCCTTGAAATTGTATGCTTAAATTTTAGATGTAGAAAAGAAATGCTTGGCATTGCCAT